TTGTTGAGAAATAAATAATGAAAGCACTGTCTCTCTACATTAGAAAATACGTACCTTCATAGTTCATTGTTTTCATCTTCATCATATGGAACTGAGAAATGTTCAATTATTGTTGAAGTTGTTCATTTGCTGTTATTGATAAATTTTCTAAATTTGATCATCATCTGGATCTTTGGGTTTCATTACACACTGTTTTATTTTATTAAAATCCATCTGTTCATGAATTTGTAGATTTTTTTGTATAAAGAGAGTATGAAGAACTCTAGTTGACTGGCTTCAAAAAAAAAATTCACATTGCCTCAGAAGATATCTTTTAACAATCGCCATTCCCTCGCATCCATTACTTTATTAGGTTAATAATATTAATAAAATTTCATAGAACACTATTTTTAATAAAAATTTGAATTAATTTTATAGCAAGTCGAATCTCATTTCTTTCCAGAATGTAGTAATTCAACATTTTCATTCTTATTCACAAGAATTGATCGAAACGTGTTAAATTTTCTGAATATATCATTTCGATATATTCTTTCTTTTTTTTCCTTCTATTAATTATTTTTATAGTTACAAAAGAATGAACGTTCATTTAAAGATTGGTTTGATAAAGAATCATCTGATTTATCATCATTACCTGAAACATATGAAAATTTAAATATTTTTCATCGATTTTTATTTGCTCGATGTATATCACCAGATCGAACAATATCTGAAGCACGAAATTATATTCAAGATAGTCTTGGAATAAAATATTCAGAAATTCCTGTACTTAATTTAGAATTAATATGGGAAGAAAGTGATTATAAAACATCATTACTTGGTTTACTTTCATCTGGTGCTGATCCAACATCAAATATTCAAACATTAGCAAAAAAGAAAAATATTGATTTATTTATTGTATCTATGGGACAAGGACAAGAAATACTTGCACGACGTTATCTTCAACAAACAATTACATTAGGAGGATGGCTTTTATTACAAAATGCACATTTAGGTTTAGATTATCTTGAAGAATTTTATGAAAGTAAATTTTTAATTTTATCTTCTAATATTAATCATTATTTTTAAGCTCTTATTGCAATGGATACATTTTATCCATCATTTCGTGTGTATGTAGTATTCTTTTTTGATTTTTACAACAAAAAAAAAAATGTGTTTTTTTTAGTTGGTTAACAACTGAAACTCATTCACAATTTCCAATTCAAATTCTTCAATCATCAATTAAATTTACAAATGAATCACCACAAGGTGTAAGAGCTGGTCTTAAACGTACTTATGGATTAATTAATCAAGATAAGCTTGAATATATTGAAACAATCTATTGGCGTCCATTATTATATGCTACTTCATTTCTTCATAGTATCGTACAAGTATTTATTATAAAAAAAAAGATGTTAAAGTTTTATCTTTAATAAATGTTTTTTTTTGTATTAGGAACGTCGAAAATTTGGACCATTAGGATGGAATATTCCATATGGTAAACAATATTTTGTTTTCTATTTAAATTTATTGTAAAACACCATCTGAAAGAAGTGCTGAAGTAAATAGGGTAGAAATTTGCACCCACCCCTCCCCCATCCCCACAGACCGTAGCAGATAACGCCTGAACCCATCACAGACTGTGACAGACAGGGTTTGGAAACCATCACAGACCATGACAGACACCTCTTATGGATCATCACAGCGCGTAATAGTCACGTTCAAGAGACTATCAGACGTTATGTATAACTAACATCTAATTGGAGTATTCATGAAGTATTTCCTTTATGAAGTTTTACGCTGTAAATTTAGTAAAGCTGATGGAATATGCCCAGTACACTTAAAAAAGATCAGTTTTTAGGAAATCACTAACAATAGGTATATCGTGTTTCACATTTTAATCCCTCAGGGATTATGCTAACAGCTTTTTGGATATTATAGAATTCAATCAAACGGATTGGGAAGCATCTGTACAATATATTCAAAATCATTTAGATGATATGAATCCAAAATTAGTATAAATATGTTTTTTCTTTTTGTACTAAAATAAGTTTTATTAATATCTTATTATTAAAGAATATATCATGGAAAGCTCTTCGATATATGATATCAGAAATTCAATATGGTGGTAGAATAACTGATGATCGTGATCGTCGTTTAATGATTACTTATGCTAAAGTATATTACTTTTTTGTTCTTCCTATTAATCTATTTGACGTGGTTTTTTTTTCTACTGATAGAAATGGTTTAATGAATTATTATTTTCATCAGATTTTAAATTTTATGATGGTTATTCAATACCAAAAGTCAAACGTCTTGATGAATATATTGATTATATTGATAAATTTCCATTAATTGATCCACCACAAATATTTGGTCTTCATTCAAATGCTGATATAACATATTCAACAAATCGAACGAAATCTATGCTTGAAAGAATTGTTCATATACAACCAAAAGAAGCAAGTTCAAATATATCTGGTGGTGGAGAAACACGTGATAAAATTGTTTATAATCTTGCAAATGATATGTTAATCAAATTACCAAAGGATTTTATACAGCATGAAGTATATGTTTTAGTGGAAAATTTTGTAAATTTAGATATCTTTCTCTTTACAAATAGGTACGAGAGAAATTAAAAAATATGGGTATATTAAATCCAATGATTATATTTTTACGTCAAGAAATTCATCGAATTGATCGTGTTATACGTACTGTACGAAATTCTTTAAATGATTTACAATTAGCTATTGATGGAATAATTATATTGAATGATGTAAGATGAAAACTTTTTAAGGATGTAATTTTTAAACAAAAACTAATTGTAGTCTTTACGTCAAATACTTGATTCAATCTATGATGGTCGTGTTCCAATTGATTGGGTTAGTTGAAATTATAGATCGATTTTTATCTGTTTGTTTTTCATTTTAGGCAAGATATTCATGGGAAAGTAGTACTCTTGGTTTTTGGTTTTCAGAATTACTTGATCGATATACTCAATATAATAATTGGTTAAATTATGGTTTGTCAAAAACAGAAAAAAAGAACTTAATTTTTTTTATTGTTATTCTTTTGATAATAGGTCGACCTAAATGTTTTTGGATGACGGGCTTCTTTAATCCTAACGGTAATAAAGAACTTGTTTATAAAGATAAATCTCGAATGCATACGTCCAGGGGTGGCGCGACCGGGGGGTAGTCGGGGGTGCGACACCCCCCCAATCTTCAAAAATTTCTGTTTTTTTGCTCAACAAAATCAGGAAATTTTCTTCCATTTGTCACCAAAAACAATGTTACACCCCCCGAAAAATTGCAGACTTCGTCTTTCTAGTCCAAAAAATTTCGCTACACCCCCCAATGTTGGTTGACTCGCGCCACCCCTGCATACGTCAAATCATATATTCACAGAAACTTTTTGTAATTGTTACAAAAAACAACAGATTTAATGCCTATATAAAAAAATAATCGGTACTGTTCAAAATATTGAATTCATCGTTACTCATTGTTGCCTAAAAATAGAACATTAGACATTATTAGTATGAAATAGTTAGTGAAAGACTTTCGAGAAAAGCCTGTTAGATAGGATCTGAATTTGGTTTGAGATCGATACCGTCTGAGAAACGCAATGTCTAAGATGATATCTGATTTTCTTTTCCTTTTTTGATAGGTTTTCTTACAGCTATGCGACAAGAAGTAACAAGAATGCATAAAGGATGGTCACTTGATACTGTAACAATCGATAACATTGTTCTTCGTTCATATAAGGATGATATTCGAGAAGCACCAAATGAAGTAAAAAAAATTAATAATCTAAAATATCTGATTGTATTTTTCTTTTTAAGGGTGTTTATGTGTATGGTCTTTATTTGGAAGGTGCTGGTTGGAATCGAAAAAATACTCGTCTACATGAATCACAAAATAAAGTTGTTTATGTTCAAATGCCTGTTATTCATATATTTGCTATAAATCCATCTGTAACTAATCAAACAAATGGAATAGTTACAAATAAAAAATTACGATTAAATCAAATATCACTTCGAACAAAACGAAATGATCAAATTTCAATTGCACCATATATTTATATGTGTCCACTCTATAAAAAACCAATACGTACTGATCTTCATTTTATAATTATGCTTAAATTAGCATCAAATGATATACCTGAACATTGGATATTACGTGGTGTTGCTTTACTTTGT